CGCGTCGACTCCCCATCCGATAGTTCCGCTGTCGACAACGTCCGTGAACCTTCCCCCATCTCTAACAATCAGAAAACGTATTTTGTAATTATACGGCCTATAAGTTAACAAGATAGCAGACATATCCGTATGCGTAAAACCCTCCTGCTTTCTCAGGCAAATGAGAATTGTTTTCAAAGGACATTTGTAGACCGTCTCACGAAAGAAGTCTAGCAGACGCAGTGCTGCAGTCAAACGTCAGAGTTGCCAACTTCTACCTACAATTTTGTATAAAATTGAAAGACGTACACTTTCTTGTTTTAATAAAAAGAATTGACACATACATACATATAAATAAGAAGAAAAAAGAAGTGAAACTGTACCAATATATGACGTTTTTTATGCAAATACGAGGGTCAAACTGAAAGTTCTTAGAAAATCAAAAACTGATTACATTAGCCAGTTATTAGTTTTATTATATCTTTTCAAAATATTGTCCATTCACGTCAATACACCGCTGCATGCGATGGAACCACTGGGAAAAGCACTTTGCCCACTCGTCCTTAGGGGTCTCTTCAATGGCATCGCGATACGCAGCCACCGCTTCTTCAGCATTCATAAACCGCTTTTCTTTAAGTTTTTCTTTAATTTTTGGAAATAAATAAAAATCACAAGGCGCGAGGTCGGGGCTATACGGCGGGTGACCCAGTAATTCAATGTTTGATGTCGCCAAATAGTCGATCGTTCGCTTGGCGGTGTGCGACGAGGCGTTGTCGTGGTGAAGGAGGATCCTACTGCGAGGTCGTTTCTCTCGAACTTTTTCCAAGACAAGTGGCAAACAATTGGTAGTGTACCATTCTGCAGAAACTGTTTTTTGATCCTCTAACACAATTGTTGCAAAATGACCTATCCTTCCAAAGAACGAGGCCACCATTTTTTTTCCCGCACTTCGATCTCTCTTCACTTTAGTTGGCAACTCCTCGAAAGGAAACACCCACTGAGCAGATTGTCTTTTGGTTTTAGGATCATAACAGTAAATCCAGCTTTCGTCACCTGTTAGTATGTCGAACACAGCATTTGAGTCACCTCCGTTAAATCTTTCAATCATTTTACGACACCAATCCACACGATGGAGTTTTTGAGCCTCAGTCAAATTATGAGGTATCCACCGGGCGCAAAGCTTCCTGACCGCTAAATGTTCGTGGAGGATTTTGTGCACTTGACTCATACCGATGCCTAAGCTTGTCCGAATCTGTTGATAGGTCACTTTTTTGTCAGTCTCTATCATACGCCGCACAACACAGATGTTATCTTCAGTCGTCGCCGTAGAAGGCCGTCCCTCACGTAAATCATCAGTGAGATTAGTGCGACCACGTTTAAACTCATTAAACCAGTTGTAAACAGTCGCACGAGATGGGGCTTCATCGTGAAAGGCCAATCGTAGTCTATCATAACTTTCTTGTTGACTTAAATGACATCGAAAGTCATAAAAAATCATTGCACGAAAATTTTCTCGTGTTAAATTCATGATGACGTGACACAGACAATTTTCAATTTGCCGCCAAATCGTAAAACAAATGACAAATGAATGAAATATATACTCAGTAATATTGGCAAAGAGTTATATTTTCAAATTTTAGAATTATTTTTTTATTATATTGTTTATAAGTGGCCAGTTCTAAGAACTTTCAGTTTGACCCTCGTAGACTTTTCGTTAACCAATTTTAATAGTATTAGAATAAATAAATACAAAATATAATTGCATCATTATGCACTATAATAACGCACGAAATATTATTTTTCTCTGTGAAAAGATACGTAATAGTACTTTTATACACATACAATAGGCATGACGACAAATTTTTGTTTGTCTGTCAGGTAGATTATTGAAGAATATAATATGTTTATATGTATAATATGTAAATATGTAATAAATATGTAATCAATACATTACGGCGTTGATATGTCGCATGACGTCACTTTTTTGTACATTTTCTACAAAACTGTGACGTAGCGAGCCTCAAATATAATGCCAATTATCTAAACATTTGTTGTTTAAATTGAAGCAAAAAAATAGATATGAAATATTTGTCTATTATCTGGCTGACGGACTAAATAGATTTTTTTTAGTTAGTTGTCATCCGTATTATATTAATTCATAATATGAAAAAAAAAAAATTATGTGTAAAATAATAGTTTATTTATTTTTATGGGTGTTATTTTTATTTAAATTAAATGGTAAATTACACATAGCTAGGCAACCCAAAATAAATGTGAGCCATTTTAGTTCCGCTTATTGTCAAGGGACTTCTTTCGTGCGACAGACTTTAGACTTCTTATGCAATCTAAGGCCATGCTAACACGTCGTATTGTTATTTATATGTAAATTTCTTATTTCATTAAATCGTTTATTTAATTAAATATATTTAATGTCATAATTTATTCTTTAATTTTAACATATTTTTCTTTTATTTATATAATAATATATAGTTAGTAGTAACTAAATACTTTGAATTCTATTCTTTCAAGGGAAATATTATTTTAAAACTATATTGTCAGTTTTCAACTCACATAAGCCACAATCTCATGCATAAAATAACTACAGGAAAAAGCGTAATATCTGTCTGTTATTTATGTCTACAACATATATTTTAATATTCATTATTGTGACTCATAATACACTACAGTGATTTCTCCTCATCACTATTCCATTAACTAATTTAATTATCCATTGTGCCCATTCAAGGACGGCGTGAAATTTCACTGTTAAATTTGAAAATTTCGATGTTTCCACTCTCATGCAACCAACCTAACTCAACGAACAAATTCGTGCCTTGACTGGTCCAACTTTGCCGTCTTCGGCTTCTGCAAAAGTCATATAGTAGTTAATATGATACCAGTCAACGTCTTTAACGTAAGTTTACCGTACCTAAAAGGTAACTTTCAACGTAAATAATCTTATGTGAACATGATTTCAAGTACCTGATTTAGATTACTAATATTAATTTGTTCATTAAACCTACTTATAGGGTATAAAGCTAAGAAGACAAAAACAAGGCCTAATAAATTTTTGTCATAGGTTTAAGTAAAAATGTTCCTAAGTAAAAGAAATATCTTCCATTTTACGTTACACAGTTAAACCTCAGAAAATATCATGAAATATCAGAATAACATTCAGCATTATCAGATTCTAAGAATAAAACGATATGTGTGTGTGTGTATGTGTAAACTGCCTTAAACAGAAACCAAAAATAAATGATAGAAACAAGTAATTGGAGTAGGCGAATAATTTGCATTAAAATTTATAGGTAATAATATGCAATCAATATTTAATAACGCGACCAACCCTGTACAGAAAAATCTGATATATAAAATCAAATTGTGATAAGTTCTCTCTCACTCACCATGCCTTAGATCGTGTTCAGTGAAGTACTCTTGCGCTGATGCATAATGTCTCTCCACCAAGTATGGTATGACGGTGGACGAATGAAGTTCATCAGAGCGACGAGAACGCGGCATCACCAAACGTTCACCCGATTCTAACTGAGGCGTCGCCTGAACCCAACTGCAAAACATATATTTATTTATAATACTACATTTCATAGGCACTTATCTACGTTAACGGTCGAAAATTGGTCCAAAACATTGACTATCGGCTGAAAATCAGCAATAACCAAAGAGAGTAGTTACCTCGCACCGGTTGAGTTTGTACTCTTTTTATCATGATTCTTTAACTTAAAATGTTAAATAGAGGTGCAAAAATAATTGTTTCGCGTATTGTGAGAGTCTTACAATATAATATATATATTATTTTTTAACATGAAGGTTCATTCAACAAATTAGTATAGAGCACATTTGATAAACAAGCAATAAACACACTTTGAGGCTAACAAACATTGTACTTATCTTTTATAATAAGTAAAAGGTCAGTCATTTGTTTTACCTAGAAGTGTTAAAAATAAAACTTTCGATCAACAAGGAATCTACTGTAAACATACACTAATTCAAATTTAAAACTGTACATTATAAATGTCCAATAAGAACTCGTTTCAAATGTTTATTGGGTTTCAAGGCTACGTAAATGTGACTGGTTTTTGTGAAGAGTCTAGATCATTTGAAAATCTAAACATATAAAGCTAATTGCAAATATTTACACATTGTTTGTCATACAGTTCCAATAACAACAATTTTGTAACAGTTTGAGGTTGATTGATTTTAAATATATGGAGTCCAAATTAAGTATGTAACAAGAAAAACAAAAACTTGTATAAAATAACATCCAACTGGTGTTTCAGTATGAAATAATTCGGTATATTATACACTACTATAATAAAATTTCTACAGAACTTTTAAATTTAACATTGCCTAAATTTAAGACTAATATTAAAAACAAAATTTCTACAGAAATTTCAAATTTACCATTGCCTTAATTTAAGACTAATATTAAATATTGTTTACTTTTTAATGGATAATCTAGTGTTAATGAATATTTAAACGACAAGACGCCTTGAATATTTAATAAAATTTTTCTGTCTTGATGACTCTTTATGAAATAAAACAGGAAGAAAAAACCAGCCATTGCCGAGTTTCTTCCCGGTACATGGTTTCCCGCCATGTCTATGGCGTACCATTCATAAGTCTTACGAACCACAGCCTAAACTGAATATGATACCTAACCTAATTATGAGTAGATTTTTTTAGATAATTAAAAATGTAATTTAAAGTAAAACAATGATAAAAATATTTTTTATTTAAAAAAATCTACTCAAGACTCGATTTTAAAGAACTCGACAGTAAACTTGTAAGTAAAAATATCAACTCAAAAAAGATTTAGATTTTTTCATTAAAAAATTACTATATGTGGCCTCCATATTTAAAATAAGTTTACTTTGGATCACAGTCTCAGAAATGTGTTCAAATTTAAATTCAACCAGTCCAATAATTTTGGAACTCCCTGTGACAGATGAATGAACACAAAGCAATATGATAAGGATTCCGTTTTTCTTTTACAGTATAGAAACAATAATTGTTAACATTTGTTGATACAAAACAAATATATTACTTACGCATGTCTTTTGATCTCTTGAACGGTGGGGCGTAGGTTGGGATCTCGTTTAAGCATATGAGAAAGCAATGCACCAAGTGAAGGCCCCAGTGATGTAGGCGGAGGCGCTGGCTCACCACGACCAATCGCCTCCAGCAATCGATACACATTGTCGCCTTCAAACGGATACCGACCAGTGGTCATGTTGTATCTGAAGAAATTTTCAGGTTTCATCAATTACCATAACTACCCACAATAGGTGATCAGATAACTTAAAAAATATTTAAATCAATAAATATGGTTGCTTATTCCACAAAGGATATTATTTTATATAAATAAGTCTTATTATGAACTACAAACTATGTTTAAAATAAAAGCATGTCCACTGCATCTGAGGATGTGATGTCATATATGGGGTAACAATAGGGGTTTTCAGTGAAAAAATCAACTTCTGCGTTTGTGTATTCAAATATACTAATAAGTAAAACATAAAAACACTCTTGTAACCTTGTTTAACAATCAGTAAATAATAAAAAATATTTTACAATTAGAATGTTAACATATTTTTTTTAGATTGCCACCATATTACTAATTTACACATGAATGACGAAGTACACTCTGATCGGTGTTTCATTTGACATGAGACACAGACTACAATTTGGAATTGTTTATCGGCTTAAAAATATAAATATTCAATTAATACTCTTTAAACTTTATAATCAATCATAATTTAATCTTTGATCTGATACCTTATCGATGCAATGTTCTAGCTTTTCTTACTGAAAAATACTTAGAAACAATTGTCTTATGACAAGAGGTTTTTACTATTAGTAAATATCAATGACAATCCAAAATACTATCAGATAAATATAATAATTTATAAAAATACCATTTGAAAGTTATTCTTTAAAATATCTTTAACAGTTTTACATAAAGATTTAATATATTGTGTTTTTTAAGGGATTTTATTAAAGATAAAATTACATAATGTAATAAGTATAAACATATAATAAATAAAGCTTTTTAGTAATTTGAAATAGTTTGAAAGCTACTATGTTTCATAATAGTATTTTGTACAACAATCTTCAAATAATGGTTATTCAAAAAACTCAACAGTAAACTTGTTAGTTAATTCACTTCAGTAATTCGAATTTAGCGTATGACTCATACCCGTGTAAAGAATAAAGAACCAAACATTTGATCTACATAACAATACCATTGTCACTTTTATTATTGAACTTTTACATTTAACTATGAAATGGGTTATTTCGTATATCTTAAATAATCGGCAAATCTAAGAATAAATTATTCAAAATTGCAATGATTAAACTTACAATGTTACTCCACTGCTCCAAATATCCACTTTGGTTCCAGAAAACTGCTCTGCTCCATTGGCAATTTCTGGTGGTTGAAAAGCCGGTGATCCTTGACCAGTGTAACAAGTGTCTTCAGGAGAAAACATATCTAAAGCCTGGAAATATTTAATAAAGTTAAATATATTCACATGACATTCCATTTCAGGCAAAATAATGTAAAATGTTGCAAATAAAATTCAATATTTAATACAAAAACTTTATATTTTGTGTACACTATAATAAGTGAACACTCTCCATTAAAATGCCAAAACAAGTATGTATGAAAAGAGCAATGAAACTGTATGTGGCGAAATGTAAGGACTGTAAATTGTGGAGTACAGTCCTCTCTGTCTGCCCTGCAATGGATACAACTGAAGGTATAGATAGATTGATTATAGAATATATATTTACAAAAACAATCAAAATCATTTTGAACAATTTAAAATCATTTTTTTTTTCATAAATTACTTAGGTTATATTTTACATACAATAATAAAAAATTACATAAAATATTTGATCAATTTTGCAATCACAATGTTGCGCCTTGACTATGCCTAAGTACCATAGATCAGTTGCCATCTCAGCCACTTGGGACTGGTGAATTTAATAAGCATTTTTATTCAAGATCTAGAACTAAATAACAAACACATTTGTACCTCAGCAACACCGAAGTCTGTTATTTTCAGAGTCTGATCCAATGTTAGAAGTAAGTTTCCAGGTTTGATATCTTTATGAATTACCCCTTGCCCATGCAGGTACTCCAAGCCATCCAGCAGCTGTGTGAAGTAATCATGGGCCTGTCTCTGTGGAAACTTCTTGCCTGGACTTGATTCAAGCATGTCCTATGATATTCACAAAGAAATCAATTATAAATATTCAAACTTATTTTATGCAGAATAACTATTTTGACTCTAAAATATAAATGACAATTTAATTAAATTTTAATTTATATTATGTATTTTGTTACTATTCTAATCAGCTTTCTGGCATACCTGCAACACCCCTACACAGAACTCCATAACAAGATACATTTTTTGTTTTTCATCATTATACATAACATCGACTAGTTCTATCACATTTTTATGTCTAAGTATACGGAGTAACTGAATTTCTCTCTGTACATTTTGTTCTCCATTTGGTATTCGTCTCAGTTTTCTTTTCTTCAATATCTTAACAGCTCGCCTACACAGTGATTCAGAATCTAACATCTCCTTCACTTTGCCATATGAACCTTCGCCCAAAACATCTCCCATCACATACTTCCCCACCATTTTACATTTTTTCTTTTTACTTCTATATATTATATCTGCACTATCAACTCTATGAAAAAATAGGTTAGTCTGATCTAAATTAAGATCTAACTCGTCGATCTGGTCATCGTCGAGCCAAGTAACAGAATTTGGCTCTGGACTACCTTCGATCAGGAAATTATCCTCACTGTCCTGCGGCGCAATATTTGATATTTCATATTCCACATTTTCAGCATCTGGAAGACTTTCACTACTACTGATTTTCCTACACATTCTGGGATCCATTATCTTTCAAAACAATACATTTGGAAAACTGTCTGATCTGTTTCGCAAGGCTTTTTATTATCAGATTAATAAACTGTATACGAGGCAAAATTAGAATAAACATTAAACATTTCTCTAAATTTATACAGTCCTGTTGGACAAAACAGTATTACAAAACTATCCTTTTATTTATTCAAAGTGTAAGTAAATAAAATACGAGCACTGAACAAGCACAAGACAAAACCACAAACAATTTTATTTTTATTTTGACACATGACAGGAGAACCATAGAGAAAAATTAAGAATTACGTATTTATTCTTTTCTTTGCCTGTCCAATGGACGAAACAACAACTCCTATACTCTTTGTTTGAAGAGTCATAAAGTTTTTGCGAGCGAAAATTAATAAGAGACTATAATAATAATTATTATTTTCTTTATTGCACTACTTAAACAGGATACAAGAAAACTATTGAAAACAGTTCACAAATGGCTGCTTAGCAGCAATTTCTTCCAGGTTCCAGGTAATCAGGTAAAATAATAGTAGTTGGGAAAAATAAATAAATAAGGAGTAAAGAAAGGTGGGGTGCAGTAACTATAGGATATTAAACAGATATATCTAAAGAAGGGGAAATAATTTAAAATAATAACTAGGGAAAATAAATAAATAATACAAGTTTTATGCAATGTGTAGGGACATAAAATAGTTCTTCACATCTGAGCAAATAATCTTAGAGTGCGAGCCTTTTTTAAAGCATACGGTAGTGAGTTCCTAAGCCCAAGCGCCTGCACGGAAAGGAAAAGGTGAGGAAGCATGTCAGGGGTAAGGTTAAAAGAAGAGCGTAATATAGCGTTATATGCACTGGGACCGAGTTGAGGAGCTGAGAAAAGAAAATAGTTATTTAGGAAAATTGGAAAAGTGGGCAGGCAAAGAATAGAATAGTGAATAGAGTAAAGAAAGAGTGTTTAAGTCCCTGCGCCGACGAATAGGGAGCCAATTAAGTTTAGAACGGTAATATGACACATGGTCATATTTGCGAAGGTTAAAAATGAAACTTATACACAAGTTCTGCAGACTACAGACGAGATTTGACAAAATCAAGTGATTTTAGGAATTTCCATACTTTTGAGCTTTTGAGCCCTGATCACAGGATTTCTGATGCGATGATATTTTGTTGCATTCCGTTACGAAGAATCAAGTCTGAACTTCGCTTTAACTGTATTCTTCCTACTCATCAACTACATATTTTATTTTCATCGGTCGAACAAGCTGTCAAGATCTATCCCTGCAAAACTACGCTGAAGTTGCATTATTGGTTTTAGTTTAGGAGTACGAATTCTATAAAATAAGAAGATCAAATCACGATAAAAAAAAAGCGTCCGCAGAATATTGGCCGTGTTTAACGTCAAAAGTGGGGAAGGCGACAATCATGAGATCTGGGTACTTCTTGAAAAAGCAATTTTTGAGTGTCACAGGGACATATCTCCTATAAAAATAAATTATTATGATAAAAACTACTATTACATCGTTTCTTCATTTCATTAAGCATCGTGTCATATAGATTTCACGGATAAAAAACGACGTAGATCGGAGTAACTTACCCTCAACACCTCAAATCCGGTCAATTTTGCACGTTTTTACCGTGTCACACGCGCGCCGACTTTTGAGCAATCGCAAATATTTTTGAAATTACCCACGTTTTTAATCAGTTTGTTACACACATTTAAAAAAGACAAATCGGTTTACATATTGATCAAATTTCAAATTAATCGGAAGGAAACTTTTGATTTTATGGTCAGAAGTATACGTGTCACACGCTTAGCAAAATTTTCGCGGCGCGCTTGCGCGAGATACTGCTCTGAGCTGGAGAGGCGTAGGCGAACCCCGATTGGTGTTTGCGAATCGTCATTTACGCCACAGCTAGCAGGTGAGGTGGCCACGTCGCTGTTGCCCGCGCTTTCGTTGCGAGAATAAGTTCTTCAATTTCTTAAATTTTGGTTCTCAGTTATCCGGCTTTGCCATGTCACATTTTTTCAATGTAATTGTACTTCTTCTAGAAAATGGGTTTTAAGGTGAAATACCTAGCTCTATAATGTAGATAAACAGTAAAAAACTAGCCGGTTATATCTTTTCAATGCAGAGTAATTTCAAAATATATGTTTTTTGGTAATTTCCATGGTGTAATTTCCATGGATAAAACACCATGGAAATTACGTATCACCCATGGAAATTACCTTGTTTCTTTTTGGTTGCAAAAAAACAAACGTTATGTTCAATGTTTGTTTTCAATGAAATGCACGCCATCGCCAAATACAGACTTAAATGTTGAATGTTGGTTATTTTTTTAAATTAAATCGTCTTAAATATCATTTAAAACTTTGATCATCATCTTCAAATTCTCAAATCGTGATTAAACAAATTCAAGTTTAAAACATCTGTCTTTCGCTGTCGTCTGTTTGAAGTTAACAGGGTCACAAGGACATTTTTTACACCGGATTAAGTTAACATATTATATAATTTATTTATTTATTGTAAAAATTTACTTTGATTAAACACTAAATTGGTACCTGTAGGGCCAATGGTTTTCTCAAAAACGATAGATAGCCAAAGGGGGTTATCTTGACTGAAATAACCTCCTAATGTCTACTTATGACCGGTGTTCGCTATCTATCGTTTTTGAGAAAACCACTGGCCCTACAGGTACCAATTTGGTGTTAAATGAAAGCCAATTAAATTTACAATAAACTAATTATTGATATTTGACGTAGGATGCGTATTTTATAAGATAATTGACAAAATAAATAACCATTTCGAAAAAGGGTTCTCTATGTCACTTCGAAACACGTTTCTTCGATAATTGATACATCGACAACTATACGAGTACGTCGAAGCATTCATTGTTCGAAGTTTCAATACATCGCATATCTTACTTCGACGCCCGACTTTTGTTTGTCCGATGTAACGTTACTTCGAAAAATTTGCCAGATGCTGAAATTTCAATGTTGGTCTCATAGTGAAAGTTGTTCAGTTTCATGGGCTGAGCTACCACCTGAGAGGTTTTGCGCTATTTCCATAACACGTTGTATATATTTTGTTTTTTGAGAACATGAACGTGTTTACGTTTCGTTCCAATTTTGAGTAAGTACTATCGTATATCGTTTCAGTATAATGTAGGTAGATCTTAATACTACCCTAACTAATATGACAGCTTAATTTCATATATGACATGGTGTTTAGCAAAATTTTATCTGCTGTGTAATTTCCATTGCCTTTATTGTAATTTCCATGGTCCGCCAATTTTCTACATTTTTTTTTAGCAAAAGTATAGATCTCAGTCGTGGCCAATTTTAATATGTTGTTTAAATTTGCAGAAGTTTTCGAAATATTTATATAATTCACCATAATTTTGCGATTTCAAAAATGCCCTGGAAATTACACGGAGAACACATTTCCCAAGAATCACCCATCTACTCATTCCAGATAGGGTGCAATTGAGAAAATGGTGCGTTTCATTAAGAGGAAAAATGTGCTGAGTAGAGGAATTATTAATTATGGATTGAATTTTCTTAGACCGTAAGTCATTTTTAATAAGACATGTATTGAAGACTCATTGTAATTGTGTGTGAGACTTCGTTACATATGGGTTTTTACATTTAATTAATTGCATTTTTATTGTTTTTAGTGAGTTTTGATCCATACAAGTGCGCTATTTGTTTTGAAAATGTTGCATAAAAAAGAAAATCTTATCTTAAAGATTATTTTTTAAGATTGAGTTAATATTCCTATATTACATTTATAACGTATTTACAAAATAGGTATAACAACTTAAATTATGCAACTGTTACCGAAATAGGAATAGACATCCTGTAATCCAGTATATAATGCCCTAATATAACCGTAAACCCAATTTACTTTATAATCTAATTTCCTAATACGACTGTTTCTGTATTTTTATAAATACATATAATGTGTGTGATAGATAATGGATGAATGGATACAAAAGTTTCTGACGTCATAGCACCGAAATATTGAGGTTCTCGGTTTTCTCGTATGAAAATGTCTGTAGCCAGCTCTAGATACTTTTCTTCTGCTTTCCAATGTGACATTATTATATCAACATTATTTATAGTCCAGATATCAGAAAAAATCTTTATGGTTATAGTGAATATAAAATAATAAAGTAAAATAAACATGTTCTTTATTAACATTATTTCTATCGGTTACAATTTTGAAATTATCCCAGTGAGAAAATATAAATAATAAAACTTAAGATGAAGCTGTATGAATTCGATCCTTTGGCTTGATAAAATAAAAAATGCCGTACCTCGGGGCGGGAATCTTCAACTTCATCTTTTACCTCACATATCTTTTGCGACTCAGCAAAAATTAAGTTTGGCTTGCATCCTCCTGACGCAAGGTCATCTACAGATTTCCACCTGTTTCGGTTATTTCTGAATTCTTTGAACAATGTCAGGTTAACATCACATGAGAATTGCCAAAATCACTTGTCTTGGATTTTTTTATCCGAAGCCGCAAAATTTCTATAGCAATGGGATCATGTCCCTACCTTTTTTATACCATATGAAATTGATCCTTAACATTTTAAACCGGCTTTCCACCTGCAAAGGCGGTCCAGAGCAGTTAGCCTACCCTAAAAACCCTCCGTACCACCCTCTTAGTGTGGGCCATATGGACCTTGAACATACCCGATGAGCCGACCTGGTGGAGCCGAGGGCACATCAAATCTCTACATACAAGTTATCGAATAAAATGCCATTGTTGAATAAACATTAGTCAATACATTATGTATTGACTTTGAAAGAAGATAAATATACAAAGAGGCAGAAATCTTTGCAAATAATAAATGCTTTTAGATAACATATTCGTTATTTATTTTATTTATAAAAATATAATAACAATCGATTTCCTAAATATAACTTCCCATATGAGAACTACTTGTTCAACGTATGGATAGGATATTTTTAAATCACGCTGCTCATCAGTCCGTTTGGCTAACCTGATCGAGCTTTAAATTTGTGTTGTTTGAAAGATTACAAATATATTTTAATTATTACTAGATATAAGTAAGTATTAAATAAGAGATTGTTATTGTTTATATTTAGTTTTCATCTCCTTCTTGAGTAAGGCAAGACGAGTGAGGCAAGCGTCTCTCCAGGCACGTCTCTCTTGAAGCCTGTCCAGTGGTACCATTTGGTTCAGCTGTTCACAGATTGTATCAGCACTCTTACTTTGTGTCATACGAGGATTTGGGCCAAATGAATTAGATACACTATAAATGGTGTCCCCGTACCTGAAAAGTAGTAAATAAAAAACGAATCATTATTAGTATGTTCTGATAACATTAGCTTCTTTTAACATTAGATTAATATTCTTCCCTGATACTCTGAGATGGGACTCGAACCCATGATCTTTCGCAATCCGGACGAGTACTCTAATCACTGAGCTACCGGTCCTAACAGACCTGACGAATCTTTCAAGCATTTATTACTTTTTTGCTAATTCAGGTACAAAGTGAGTTTTATAAGCATTTATTATTAGGAATAATTTCAGTATAGCAATTTGAATGAAAAGGTAAAATAATTTTTAGTTTCTTTAATCGAAATATTGAATTAATTTTATCAGATTTAATCTGAAATTTATTCAAATTATTTTTTGTTAAATATCTAAGTAGTATTTTGTGGGTATTTTAATCTGATCGCTTTTAGAAGTAGTTCGTTCGTCCATACTCGGTCGATTTCAGTCCACCGGACTTTGAAATATTTTAAAAGTAGGTTCTATTTTGAGCTGGATGTTTTTTATCAATAACTTAGTCACAGACATAAAACAGACAAGACAGACTACGGAGGACTACGTTTTAAAATGTGTTGTGATTATTTTTCGATTTTCTATCCACCAACAAAACATACCAATATATTTTTTCTGTATTGTATCCACAGAACATTGTATCCTACAGTTATATATATATATATGTTTCTATTCATTATTTTTATTATTTTTTTAAGATTCCGTATCCTATGGATTAAAACGGGGCTCCGCCGTCTATATGTTACGAGGCTTTATCTCATAAACCATCTTAGCTAGGCAGTAAAAATTTTCAGGGATGATGGTATTTCTATTATACCGCTATAACAACAAATAGTAAAAACAGGATAAGATTAAATATTTAAAAAGATTCTCATGCAGCAAACGAACTTTTTTTTACAATTTTTGTAGAAAACGGAACCCTTCGTGCGCGAGCGCTAGTCCAATTGGTATCTGGCTAGTTTTTTTTTGTGATTTTGCTCCTTTTTTGATACATAATTTTAACGTTTTATCTATATTTAATACCTTTCGATATAACTCTTCATGCCTTCCGCGTTCAAATGTGCAGTCTCCAGTGAGCCTAGGAATGCATACCGCATACCAAGCCCCTCAGAAATTACTTTGTCAATATCTTGAACATTAACAACGCCCTCATCAACTAGACGCCATACCTCGTTCAAAATAGCATATCTAAAAAAAATAATTAACATTTAACATCGATTCCATTTCTATGAATGAAATATTCTTTATACACCAGACAGCCGAAAATTAAATTACGTACAATAAATCTAACATAGTCAGTATAATTGGCGGCATAATTTTTAAATATGACAATGTATTGAGATATGTTATACTTTATCTAATTATTAAATGCTACAGTTTTGTATTATACCTAATAGTCATCATATAATTTAATTGTTGGGGCCATGGCAGTGGCGTAACTATACCGTTTGAGGCCCGTTGCAAATTCATCGGATATTCAATTTTTTTTTTTACTAATTGCGTAATAATAAATTTTAGGAGTAAGGAGTCTCCTCTGACAGGGGGCCCCTTCCAGCTGGAGGCCCGTGGCATTTTGCCGACTTGCCACACTGTAGTTACGCCACTGGACCATGGGTTTCTTTTATATGCATGTCGTGGTAACCCTTTATTAGGACAGCATATTGTCAGTGTTTGACTTTGTTGATTACTCAAATGAATAAATAAATAATTGATTTATCCTATCTTAATAAAATAAGACGTAGTCATTACTTGAGAATATGTCATAACTTAGACAAATATTTTTAACAAATAGACGAGAATTTAAATGAAGTAAGAACTGTTAATAGCTTATAATATTGTTTTCTAAGTATTAACGGTATTAACTTCATTTAAATTCTTGCTTGTTTGGTAAAAATAACTAAGTACTTAAGTTACATATTCTGAAGTCTCTCGACTATATAAACGAGTTTTAGTTCTAAAACTAGGCAATTTATTAGGGAACAAGACCAATATAATTCAAAAAAGATTCAGCATGTATTGTTTAACACTATTACATTCACTCATTTAAAACAAAAAGCTACTTACTGAATACGATTGAGGACAAATCCCTCGACTTCTCTAGTGAGGGAGACGGGCTCCTGGCCTATCTCCTGCATGATCTCCCGCGTCTTCAAAGCCACTTCAGGCTTAGTCCATGGAGCAGGTACAACTTCTACTAATGGCACATAGTAAGGAGGATTCACTGGGTGAGAAACGATCACCTGAAATTCAATTATATTCAGTAATAATACCTTAAAGCAGGAAATACTGTAAATATGATATTGATTCTAGGTGAAATGATAACATCAGTTGCAATCCTAAGCATTATTCATTCCTAAGCATAAGTATTCATGATGAAAACACTTAAATTTATCGTAAGTAATTTGAACTAAAAGCTTTCATTTTCCAGTTAGTTAGAAGTAAATAAGTTACCTGCGCTTTATGTTTCAAGTCTTCAGAGAATAAAGAAGGAAGTGTTGTACTGGTGGAACTGGATAAGATTGTTTTGTCGTCCACAACTTTATCCAGGTCTTGGAATACCTTCTTTTTAAGATTCAAACTCTCCGGAACACATTCCTGTACAAATATGGCTCCTTTCACCGCTGCCACCAAATCCGTTGTACCTGTAGAAAATAAACTGAATGAATATCCTTTTGTTTAGGTATATAAAACTAGCTTTCGCCCGCGACTTCGTTTGCGTGGTATACATCAATGTCATTTCATCATGGACGTTTTTTCCTTATCTCCGGTAGATTACCTTGGTTATTGACCCACATTTCGTTTACAAATGCACTCTATGTGTATTATGATGTAAAATGTTATCTTATCGCAATACAAAATTATGGTAGGAGTAGAATGCTGAAATTGAGATTTCGGCTATAACATGTACACAAATGCACAGGTCTCACAACGCAATTCTACTGCCCTAAAAGTTATGAAGTCAACGTAATCCAAGTCGATTAATTCAGTAATACCAATCTTTTTATGAGAGCCGCTATCCAATCTTGTCATAGACCTAGAAATACTTAACAAACGTACACACCTATTAATCACCTAAGTACTTTTTTAAATAAAGCACAGAGCCAATAACTAGATTGATTTTTATGTAACATTATTTTATCATACCTATGCCTTTGCCAAATGTATTTTTAAAGAAATGTTAATGGAAATCAGTCTTTATTTTTATATAAAACATTTTTTGGAACTGTAATTTACAAATTTTATAATATTCTTGAAAATAACTATAAATCAGTTATAATTACGTGATATAAAAAGTAATTTTCTTCAATGGGAAGAACTGCAACTAATAGGGACAGTGTCTGCTAATAGCACGTAATACACATCATTACGACGCATTAATTGTATTATATCTATTTATCTATAGATATGTATATCGTTTAGATTTAAGACATTTAAACTAACTCAGGCCCGTCTTTACCCATGGTGCAGGGGGTGCAATGTTCTTCTGGAAATTCCCTGAAATGGAGGGGGGGCATAGCACTGCTTGCACCTGGCGCCTGTTGTTCTTAAGACGGGATTATAGGTATGCACATGAATACTATATATATACATAGGTACTCACAATAAGTAATCCCAGTTATAGCCATGATAATAGAGTAAGAGATAAATCGATAAAATAATCCTTTATCCTATTCATATGGACATAAACCTTTAATAACAAACCTCTTTTATAAAATAATTGATAAGAAATGACACTTCATTTCCGAGTATTGCATGTTAACAACAGTCATTTTATTCATTTACGAACAGTTCTGATGTTGTCTTGGACAATAAAGATACTTTATTGAAATTAAATAAAGCAGAAGTCTTCGTTTTAGTCATTTTACTAGGTAAATCATTTACGTAAAAATTTTATATACTTTTACATGCATTCTTTTTCATAATTAGGTTTTAACGAAAAAAAGATCTAATCACATAAGCTGGCGTAACTATACTGAAAACTTGTTAAAAATAATTTTCTAAACTCTGTTATTTCAAGTTGTGTGATACTAGTGATCATCCGTTAAAATTTACATATTCAGAAATCGTTTTGATTGACTTTATATAAAAAGGTATGATAGTATTATGTTGGATTAAGCAATTCACAAACGATTATATTTGTTAAAAGCTAAAATGACACAATATTATAAGTCAGCATTGAAGTTCTTAAAACATTAAGTCTAGTGATAAGATGTCATTAATAAGTAAGATAGGTACCTTTAATGCATTGGAACTGTTCATCCGCGTTTAATTCTCCTCTGAGCAGTCCATCCTTCTCCAGGGTTTTGAGCTGTAGCTTAATGTCGTCCAGAGCATCAGTAACCTGTTTTGGTATGATGTCGTATACTGTCACTTGGTAGCCCACAGAAGCAAACAGCATCGCCCATGACCGACCTATGAGGCCACTGTTGAACAAGTTTTATTAAAGCTTTTAATTAATTTACTTATTGTATTCTTTTGCATTAGTCTTTTAATTACCCCACTGCCCGTGGTACAGATAGAAACATCACTCTGACCTAGTGATACATATGGTGCAGAAACCAACAATATGGACATTCTTATTGGAAATGTTATAGATGACATAGATATTGGATATAATACTATCGCGAGTATTTCATACCTTGGTCACAATAATAGTGTAACCGTAATTGTCCATTTATACGAGGCTAATAGCCAAGATAATCCAGTTAGCCAGTCCAGTTAAAATTGGAACCGTTCTTGACAAAAGAACCATTCAATTTTATTTAATTAGAAATCTATAAATTACAAGAAAATCTTTAAGTCCATAATTTTTAAAATAACATTCTCGTATTTGTGCGGAACCCTTTGTGCTCGAGTCTCAGTCACTTTTGGCTGTTTTTTTTTGTTTGTTTACCAGTGGTTATACATGTCTACAATCTAAATCATGTCTAAGTTATCTTTTCTTATTTAACTTACCTACTACAACTACTAACTCTTAAGTATCTTTAAGGACGTTGCTACCTTTGGTATCCCAACAGTATTGAATAAATATTAATATTATTAATTAAATATAATATTTGTAAATATGTTCAAAAGAAAAAAACTTTGATTGCTAACTTATAATTATATCTTGCGGTATATTATTAGATCATTTTAACCTTTTTTTTTGACATTATACAATTTATAATTACCCTTACTTATCTTATGTAACTTAACCTCTCCTGACACTGTGATTACATTATCTTGTAGATATTTTTTAAATATCTCTAGTCATTTACTATTACAAAAAAAAAAAACAAACTGATAAAAATAGTCTTATTTATTTAAACCAGAAAACATAAAAAGATACTACATGAAAAATAATATTACATTAACAGGTTTTAGATACACATTATATTCTAAGTGATCTAAGTGGTTAGCAATACTGGAATGCATGTCGTTTTTGGATATATTTTCCTTTGAGAAATATTTTATATATAAAAATTATCGTATATGCAGGACACAAACGTTCTTTTCATTATTTAATATTCATTTTTCAATACAATTTATTTCTTAATATATCAATCCAAGAAAGATAGAAACTCTCTAAACATTTCTGCCAATCTAGTAGATATTTCAATTCTACAAACTTTAACGTAACAATGGTGTTTCAATAAAAAAATTTCAACGTTGTTTCTGATCACAAAATAACAGAGAATCTGTCATCATTGTTCTATTAATATACCATCTCAGGTAAATAGACAATACAATTAATTAACATTAGAAAATTGCGCCCAGTTAGAATGTCGGAGCTTTTAAAAAAGGAGTCAATAAGCGCCGTCAATTTCACTTCAAAAATAGAACTATTTTGCCAAACCATGACAAGCAAAATTATATAATTGATAACGCAGTTATAACATACTCGAATGCAGTTAGATGGAAATGGATCAGATATACAAAAATGGAATGTTGAACGAGTATTGTTAAAAATACTTCTAAAGCGGAGACGTTTGTTTGTTTATAAATTAAATCAATAGTTTCAATAGCAAACAGCTACCAACTCCTTATTCTCTCCTCATAGAATTCCTAAATTGAGTTAGTAAGGTTAATTATATTATGTACTTAAATACTTGTCAAATAAACACGATGTAACTTTTTAAAAACAGAATTAGAAAAGAGAACGTACAGCCGGTTGCACAAACGTAAATTTAATTTGTCATTAGTTCAAGCGATTTTACCCTTACAAATTTAACATTCATCAGTGCTTAAAGGCGTCGTTAAAGCTTAATGGACGTTTGTATAACTGACCGTAAGTAACATGGAACGAGTGACATATAAATACTCTTCTGTGGATAAATTAACAACTTATGTCTTTTGATCATTCGAACATGTTCAATTTTAAAATCGAGATCAATTTTAAGTTTCTTTTTAATTCATCATTAGATTGATATAAATAAGCAGACTAAATCACTCACGATTCCAATCAAGCAAGCAGCTGGAAGTCTTATTTACGTTGTAACATGTGTTGGGAGCGGTTCCTTAAATTTTCTGCACTGACCAAAAAATCCTTACAAGAAAGCGTCTTAATAATAAGAGAAGTAACAAGAGTTATTTTAGAATAAATCAATGCTACAGGTTTTAGATCGAAAATAAAGCAGCTGTATAGTTGACACAAATACAGTAAGGAAAAAATAATTTATAATTTTAAACGCTCTCATTTTCTTGATATATTAAATATTCTCGTAAAACCAGTCTAACAAAGAATCCCCTGTGCTGCCACGAATATCTTCAACAAATAAATACACAAATAGTTGCAGTACTAGTACCAAACATACTGTATCTAATTCAGATTTACTAATTTACGGTCACGGTTAGCATATTGTCTAATAAAATAATACAACTTCATTTATATATAAAGAAACTTCATTTATGTAAAGATTTTTTCTCTTTACGTACATAACAGTACAAATATAATGCTCCTACCTTAAGGTGAAATGATAACCTTCTTAAAGAAAATAATTTATTTACTAAAAATTATGTCACATACATCTATAGGTTCCTTGGCCTACTGTTACAGGAAAAGTAATGCGATTAATTATAATTCAAATGTGTTTGCTGTTCGTTCGTTTCGACATCGCACTCTGATTGAAATAGAAATATTTGTTTACTGACCTTCCAACAATGCCTACTTTCTCTGTCTTAAATTTTGGCGCCATTTCGTTGTCCAAACGTCTTGCATGCACAGTATTCTACCCTTGAATGAGTCAGGCACACTACCGCTCACTGATATAGTTGGCGTAACAACTATCGTATAACCAATGATATTACAGCTCAGCCTCAATAAAAATATATGAGTTTTCGATATAGTCATTTATACAAGTGAAAATAGAGTTGATTGTCGTCTTAAACTTACATTATAGTAAACAAAGAATTTGTCACCGTATGGTACAAATCTAAAAATATTTGTTTAGATCAGCGATACTATACTTATGTCATTCACTTGAACTTTATTACTTTTGTATCTAAAACTTCCTGGAATAAAGAGTACTATAAATTATAGATCATTTAAAAATTTCCAATTTTTTACCCATCGTAGAAGTTATTTACCGACGCCATGTTTATTAATTTATCCTATGCACTGTGGTAAGGGACACTTAGATTTGTCCTATGCACTGTGTATCTTTTTATTTGCAAACAATTGAAATCCTCAACTCTTGCTTGGTGGTTAATCTTTGTACATCTTCCATTCTCCATTCACTATTCTTGAACGACGCTACTAAATATTAAAATATAAGGTGTAATATTATTATGTGCCAGGACTTCGTGGATTGAATGAGTTAAATATGCTGCAAGATTTTGCGAGCAACACTGAATTTACGAAAAAATAATGAGTTGTTTTGTACATTTAACTTATCCACCCCAGGAAGTCCTGGCACATAATTATATTACACCTTATATAATATATCTATCTTATAGATGTGCTCATATGTAAAACTTAAATCCACTGTCATAACGGAATATTTCTTATCAAGTCCTTCTATGCTAACTTATTAATAAATATTAAAATAAATAGGAAAGTTTAAGTATTGAACGGAAAGAGGCTGTTAGTTCCATAATAATATTACTTTTTAGCAATTTGCAGAAATAAAACATAAGCTTGTTTGTAGTATGTATTGTTTTTATTTAAATAATTGAATATCTAAGTTTTTATTGTCATTTGTCATTATATCGTATAAATAATATTTGGGTGGTTTCTGAGAAAAGTATTTAGTACAGGCAGACTACAGGTGAGATCTCAACTATAATAAAAGTAGGTATATACCTACGTAAGTAACAATAAGTCGTTTAGTTTATGTTCGTTAATTACGTACGTTATTTTGGATTTTTAACTGTAATGAAAAAAATGAAAAAAGCCATCAATCTGACGCCAGGAAATTTTCCTCAGGAACCACCCAGTTAGGTACAATATAAGTTTATCTACATATAATTTATTCTGGAGATATAATAATCATACATTCGTTATGTTAATGATTAAATTTACCAAGCAATCTTGCTTTACAGGTTAAATAAAACGTTGGATAAAAGTCATTACTTATACTTAACTATATGTATTAAAGTTTGTATTTTTGAATCTGTTACAACGTAGTTGCAATCTGGATTATATTTTTAGTATCCAGTACAATTCAAATTCACAAGCAAAGTACAATTCATATTATATTTATATTTGCTTACGATGAACATCTGTTCTAAAAAATTTTCATATTTTTTATTAAAAGAAACGATCGTTTGCTGTCTCGCTTTTTTTCAAAGATGTTCTTTTCAAGGTAATGTTATCAATTTTTGATTAAAAATTAAATTTGCATTATTACAAAATATCCAACACTCATTAAAAAGTCATGTGCACTATACTATTTTAAAGAGCAATTTCTGTGATATTTATTTACAAAAAACAGTAACACTAAGTTATACGATAAGTACATTATACATTTATTTGATAAGAAAGTAACATTTAATTTTATTTATAACTTAAAAAACTAAACTTTAATTTGTAGTTTATTAAAAGAGTTTATTACATCTCTAAATTCTTTTTGAGATCTTACTTTTTGTTATATGGTTATCATTAGGCCATGAACTATCTAAGCAAAGCAAATAAGCAACTATCGTACTTATTTAAGAGATGTCTTCATTACTTACATATGTACGTCTTCATTAACTTAATAATATACACATCTTTATGTTGATCGAATGCAATTAATTTAAGGTAGTTAAAAAAGTCTTCATTACTTAATAATACGAATGTAATTGATTTCATCAATTCAAAGTTGAAAGAAGTATTTTCATTATTCATAAGAGGTACATAATATTTGTTCACGATTCTCGTTTTTTCCTGAAACGCATTTCTATACAATTCCATATTCGTTTTGCAATAATTATTTCATGTTAATCACAAATCATCACAAACAAATTTTTGATTTCTCTGAAACCTTATTGTTATCATATTTCGGCTTTTGCCTAGTAATATTCCATCAGCCACTCTTCGTGCTCCTATTAATTCAAAGAGGAAAAAAATAAAACTTATACATAAATAAAATTAAAATATCGATAAATAAAATAACAAGACGACATTAACTATAAAATTACAACCATTTTGTTATTATCTGAAGTCTTTTAAATTGAACTCGAAACTTAATAATATTTTTAGTACTCTTTCTTCAACTGACTTCAAATTAGAAAACGAAGAGTTGTAACTCTTAGTACGACTACGTTCGACGGCGGTGTATTATTTTTAAATGTTTATTTTTATTTTCTATTACTATATTTTAATTAATTAGTACCAGGCAGACTCCGAAATATTTTAAAAAGTTACCATCATCATGCTCATTAAATTTCTTACAGTTAATATCTAATAAGTATTGTTAAATTTTATTCACAAGTGGAGCCAGCTATGGCATCCTTAGAGCTAATACTGAATATCCTGTAATTGACTTCATTTGGGTTCAGGCTCTTGTACAGGAACCGCGGCATTCTGTCACTCAGGATCCATAGGTTACTTTCATCGTCAATCTGAAAATTTATTTATTATTCATCATCAAAGAGGACAGATTTGCTAGTTGTTGTTTCATAATGAATGGGTTCAGAAACTACTGGACCAATTTAAAAAAATCTTTTACTTATAGGACATAGGGTATATTTTATCCTAAAAAACAGCAAATGAAGGGGGAAAAGAGAGAGTGGAAGTTTGTATAGAAAATAATAATGTTATCTGGTAAAATAACCATTGTTTACTATTAAATTTGTCATTGTAATGTCATGTTGGTGTCATGATATGAATCGATATCCATATAGTAAATCGGGACTAGCGGACCTAGGGACTATGGACCATGCGGGTGAAGCTGCATTCGGAAAGCATTCAACGAATTTGGGGCAAATTTTGCAATCGAGTCTTTCTTTATTATATAGACAAATATTATTAAACATCTTTATGAACATCTTTTACTCTTTAAAGTTATTTTAACTGGACAAAAATATTGGACCTATAAGTCATACCTTTAAAATATAAGTAAGAAATACCTTTAAGTCATTGGGAAACTCCAAGAGTTCTGCATCGCTAATAATAAGGGGATTATTCTCAGGAGTATAGGGCTTGTTTATGTTCCAGCAGCCGACGCCATCACGGTTTACCTATTACAAAAGAAGCAAATGTCATTTAAAAATTTAATGTAATAGAGTTATTTACAAATTAACCACAACTGACTACTAATTTTTGCTTTAATAAGTGTATCATTTCCCACAAAATAAATGAATAGGAAGAAAAACTGGGTGTTTAAAATAATTGGCTTCAGGACAGCAATATCTGCCTAATCCTAAACAAATCCAGACAGGGCTACATTTTGACAGATCAATCAAGGCCACACTCATGTGAACGCTGTTCCTCTAAAAACCAAAAAGCGTTGTTCCTAAGGGCACTCGCATTTGCCGAATTAAGTATTACAATTCTATTTCTATTATAATTCAAATTAAAAGTAACTATACATTAGTTAATGGGACGGCAAAAAAAGAAACTCAGAGCGTTGAATTTAAAGTGCGCCACTAGACACGTATGGTTGAAACTACAATGCAAAATGCAGGAAATAGTGTCTCACAAGCTGTCTCGACATCCGGTGAATTGCGCTTATTGATCAATTTTGTTTGGTTAGCTACTTTCCAAGGTCAATATAGATCAGAGAGCAAGCAGCTATCACTTTTAACGAATCAGCTAGAATATTAAAAAGGTTATACTGTTAGTGCTTAGGAATCTTGACTTGGACAAGTCAATGTCAATGCAACTGATAATAAGGACAGCTTCGTTAGTATTCCTGTCCTCGCTGATTCGCTTGTGCCTTGTTTTTCGATGTTCCCAATAATTTCAACGTTGTCCACACAAATACACAAAGCGTTCCGGCTCATTTCTTAGATATGCTGACAAACTAACTGTAAGGATATTCATGCCATTGTTCTTTTTTTAATTATTTTGGCATCTTGTCTGTGAATCATTATGACTTAATGGTTTAAGTCATGATGATTAAGTCATGAGAGAAGTAAGTAGAGAAGTAGTAGACGTCTTCCTTCTACTACTTCTCTACTTACTTCTCTGCCCGGTCTCAATATCATTAGGAATGATCGTACATGTAGTGATGATGGTGGTGGTGTCACTATATACTTAACTTCGATCCAGCTTTTGAGTAGTATACGTTATATAATCTTTTTTCACTTCCAAGACTTCTTCTCGTCTACTTGCCTTTCATCGTGCATCAATTATCCGATTGTGATATTAAGGATAGCAATAAGTTAATAGGTTCTAATGCAGTAGGAAGTGATTGCATCAGTCGTATAATGATACTGCCCAATTTAGATGAAATTCTCCTTTTTATTCTCACATCTTTAACAATTCTGTAAACACGGGTGCGTTTCCCACGGCTTGGAAAAATGCCCAGATTACTCCTCTTCCTAAAAAATCCAATTCTCCATCCTTTTCTGAATACCATATCCAATTTACCCTCCCATTCTAAAGCCCTCGAACGTTTGGAAAGTTTGTTTGTCCTAGTTTGGCATCCAGAACACAATGTCGCAATTACCGCCTTTTACATTTGGCGGTGTAAGATTATTATAGGTATAGCGACTGTGTTAAAATTCTGGGAGTGATTCTTGGCAAAAATCTCTCCTGGGCATCTCACATGCAAGAAATGAGTTGCAAACTATGCTTTGACGGCGTCCTTAGGAAGACTTCGGATTTTTTTGCCTATTGTTATTAAAATCGCGCTAGCGCAATCTCTCCACTTACCAATTTTAGATAATGCCTTAAGTGACTTTCGAAATAAGATTAATATTTGGATGAGTATGAGTGTGTGTGTATGTGTGTGTATTTTTGCTAAGTTTATTATTATTATTTATCAAAAAGTGATTATCCTATTTGGCGTATGAAATGTTAACAGAATAATAAATATTACAAAAATTGTAGGTATTACAAAGCTTTAATACTAACATTCCGATCGACTCATATCTCATAATCATTACCATTGTAGACAAATGTTACAACATGCCTATTTGATGGCCTGAGAGCTTTTGCTCAACTCTTGCGATTATTTAAACTAACAACATAAAGAAGCGATACAAGACTAAAGATAATTAACTTTTAACTACATATACAAATAGGAAAGTTTTAGTTGACCTATTATATTAAATTTTTGTAATGCTGAAACAAAGGTTTCCCTATGAATTGAATGGAATTTTAATCCAAAAGGGATTATGGAGTGCAGCATGCATTTATGAGTAAAATTATTAATAATAATTTATTATCTATTTGGCCGACCTTTTCTTTATTGTTTTGTATTTATTTTAGTTTAAATTCAACTACTTATTTTAATTTCAGTTATGTAAATTCCGATTATGTACCGTTCAGTATCAATTCAATCACAATAATACACTTATAGAACCTATGGCTGAACTTGTAAACTGATACCGATCAAAGGAAAATATTTAAATAACAGTTGGTATAGATAATAATTAATTTGGACAAGGTAATTAATCTCACATAAAAGTAATTACACTACCGTATACCTAATAGCATCGCGTGTGCGCCAAGCTTTATATCGCGATGCCATATCAAGCACTCGTGAAGGCGAGTAATTATGCTCTTAACCTGTTATAGACACTTAATTATTATTTATGTACATAACTCAGTTGTAAAGGATGTCTTCTTAGATAGAGTCTGTAATGTTAAAATACCTATAATAATTCAAATTTGAACTGTATGTAATAAAGTGGTTTATTTTAATGGAATACTTGAAATAAACTACTTGTATACTTCTGGAGAGTTAGTTAAAGTAAATAAATTTGTAAGTTATATCTTATTGGGTACATATAGTGAATTGTTGTGAGTTAAACACTAGGTAATGTCAACTTAATTGTCTTTGTGTTGTACAAAGTATCGATTGTTGAAAGTCAAATAACTAAATCCTTAAGTTTTATAATAAGAATTCGATTATCAAATAAGGACTGGACCATATTTACCTGAGTGTAAAACAGAACTCCAGTTTTGTCATCGTACACGCCGGCCGACGATTGAGTACGTTCCCCTCGATCGCCCAACAGCTGTAAGTAAAGCATCATAATTATTATAAATCAATTCATAGATGATATGTTATTAAATAAAATTGACGAAAATTTACCTACTGATAACCCAAACTGGATACTAATAAAATTTGTAATAACAGGTAACCTATTAGACTCTATGGTTTGCGCGTTTTCAGCCGATTTTTATTTAAATAGTTAAATGAAAATCGGCCAAATAATACTTCTAAAATAACTTATAAAAAATATATACCTTAAAATCATGGAATGCTTCATCCTTGTCTATGTGTGTATAATTGCGAAGCAGTTCTGTTGAAACACAGAACTCTTTGGTACTCGATAGCGCATGGAAAAATAATGTTCGGTACCTGAAAAAAAAATGCAATATGTAGCAGTTATATTAAAATAATTTTAAGCATGTATAAAAAATATCTAGTCAATATGACCTAAGAGATCATTCAAACATAAAATTAAATCTTCTATAATTGCTAATTGTCCATTCTAATATTCGTTTTAAAAGTTTGTTTGTTTGCATTGAACATACCTACTCCGAAGCGGACGAAAAATTCTTTCATACATCAAGCTACATCATACGCAGGTGACATAGGCTCTAATCATGACCATTCTAATAGATAAATTGCTACCAAAAGGAAAACATGCTGTTTTCGTAAAATATAAAATAACTTAATTTACTTGAATATTACTTCTTTTAAGTATTTTTACGATAAAACATTGAAGTAAACGTTTTGTAGCCGCTACCAATTTAATGTATTTTTGTACCAAACCATTTTTTCCCACGGACAACATTTAAGCGATGAATGAAGTTGTAATTCAAATCTTGCGTAATTTTCACAGACTATTAATTTTATTAATTGGTTAATTCAACACTTTGACCTTTGGTTGACCTCCGAAATGAACGGGTTGTTTATTTTCGGGTCAATGTCGGACAAATAACCTATGTTACTGTTTAATAAGTTGAGTATCGTACCATTTCTTCTTTCTTACTTCACGGCACATTAATAACGTTTACATTAAAAAAATTGCTCTGATAAAATCAACCTTCTAGCAATATGTGCAGTGTACATTAAAAAGATTCGCTTAATTAAATTAGTGATTTGTTTTTACGAGCTTTTTATGAAGATATTCCGCATAATTTAGCAAGTTTTATAAAATTGTTTAAGAGTGAGGAAAGATACCGGTCATTATCCTCGAGACCAGCGTGTTCGGAATGTAACCTTAACAGGGCAGTTCCCTTAATTATTTCCGTCCTAAAACTGTTGCACATTCGTGATACATAATAATTTCATTCCAATTTATAATAAAAAACCGGCAGACTGTGATATATATGTGATATACTATTTTCTGTAATAATTTCAAAAATATTTATCTTAAAAGATCAATAAATATACTGAAAAATCTTAAAATTAATAATCTCTTTTCATTTAACAATAGTCTTTGCGAAACTTTTTTATTTTCAGTTTACCGCCCTAGAGGGAATTCATTCGCTTGATTAATGTTTCTAATAGTCCTAATAAAGTTTTTTAGGTGAGAAATCGGGAAAATCTAGATTCTCATATTTAAGTTTATTCTATTAATTTCATATGGCACCAACCCTACTTCTTAGTACCTCTTCGGACTTCAATCTGTCTCACAATTGTTTTATTTTTTTGTTCTATTTCTTGCGTACTATTAGCTCACATAACTCTACATTTACGAGGGTCAAACTGAAAGTTCTTAGAACTGGCCACTTATAAACAATATAATAAAAAAATAATTCTAAAATTTGAAAATATAACTCTTTGCCAATATTACTGAGTATATATTTCATTCATTTGTCACTTGTTTTACGATTTGGCGGCAAATTGAAAATTGTCTGTGTCACGTCATCATGAATTTAACACGAGAAAATTTTCGTGCAATGATTTTTTATGACTTTCGATGTCATTTAAGTCAACAAGAAAGTTATGATAGACTACGATTGGCCTTTCACGATGAAGCCCCATCTCGTGCGACTGTTTACAACTGGTTTAATGAGTTTAAACGTGGTCGCACTAATCTCACTGATGATTTACGTGAGGGACGGCCTTCTACGGCGACGACTGAAGATAACATCTGTGTTGTGCGGCGTATGATAGAGACTGACAAAAGAGTGACCTATCAATAGATTCGGACAAGCTTAGGCATCGGTATGAGTCAAGTGCACAAAATCCTCCACGAACATTTAGCGGTCAGGAAGCTTTGCGCCCGGTGGATACCTCATAATTTGACTGAGGCTCAAAAACTCCATCGTGTGGATTGGTGTCGTAAAATGATTGAAAGATTTAACGGAGGTGACTCAAATGCTGTGTTCGACATACTAACAGGTGACGAAAGCTGGATTTACTGTTATGATCCTAAAACCAAAAGACAATCTGCTCAGTGGGTGTTTCCTTTCGAGGAGTTACCAACTAAAGTGAAGAGAGATCGAAGTGCGGGAAAAAAAATGGTGGCCTCGTTCTTTGGAAGGATAGGTCATTTTGCAACAATTGTGTTAGAGGATCAAAAAACAGTTTCTGCAGAATGGTACACTACCAATTGTTTGCCACTTGTCTTGGAAAAAGTTCGAGAGAAACGACCTCGCAGTAGGATCCTCCTTCACCACGACAACGCCTCGTCGCACACCGCCAAGCGAACGATCGACTATTTGGCGACATCAAACGTTGAATTACTGGGTCACCCGCCGTATAGCCCCGACCTCGCGCCTTGTGATTTTTATTTATTTCCAAAAATTAAAGAAAAACTTAAAGGAAAGCGGTTTATGAATGCTGAAGAAGCGGTGGCTGCGTATCGCGATGCCATTGAAGAGACCCCTAAGGACGAGTGGGCAAAGTGCTTTTCCCAGTGGTTCCATCGCATGCAGCGGTGTATTGACGTGAATGGACAATATTTTGAAAAGATACAATAAAACTAATAACTGGCTAATGTAATCAGTTTTTGATTTTCTAAGAACTTTCAGTTTGACCCTCGTATATTAAAAGAATATATAAGTATAATGTCGTAAAAAATTTGCTACATGAATAATGAATTCTTTTGATGTCATAAATTTTAATTGCTTCTTTATAGATAATAAATTTTTGTAACCTGTGAATTGATTGAACTCACTATAAATTTATTGCAATACAAATAAACTAAGTCGTTCGTGCACAACAAACATGAATTGATCAATACGGATTAAGGTCAACAAATGGTGCAGTCACGAACTGTCCTTGAAATTAACAGGACAAATCTAAAAGTAAACTGTTTTGTCCATTATAAGTGAATGTACGTGTGTATTTAAATATTTATTATCAACCCCGAAATAACCTAATATTATTATGTGATATTACGAATTTCTCTCTTCACAAATCATAAAAAAAAAAAATATTTCGTTTTTAGTTTTTCTTAAACATAGACGGTAAAGAAAGCCGGCAGAATAAAATTTTCATAAAGTTTTCTAAACGTGGAGAAAACGAAAAAAAAATAAGCAAACGGCCTACTCTGTTTCTTCTAAAACCAAATTCCAATAATACAATAATTTATGATACAACAGAGGAAGATCTGACACCGCTTCCGATGCTCAGATAATCTCAAAGGATAAGACTTTAACAAAATTATGAGAACCATTCGAAATTGTCAAAATTTTCAGCTATGAACGCACAAGCAGTGTAGGTCCCCAGACTCTTTATCACCCTCCTCAGTATGAGAAGAAGAAGCAGACGCTTTCGCTAGGCGCAGCATCTTCCCTCCTCCTAACCATGTAAAGGGTTGGCGAGTGTATGATGACGTGCCACCTTCACTTTTAACAGTAATTAAGTAGATTTTTGACTTAATTTTAAACGGTTAAGAATTAAATAAGTTTTAACTTGCTACTTATTACTTATTTGTGTGTTTACGTAAGTGATTAAGTCACTTAAAAATAATTAAGTTACAAATCTACTTACTACTCATCAACACAATAACGTATAAACGAGCCTTTACAGAGGGTGGATACTCAAAGGAGTCCTTAAGTGGGGTCAGGTCCGGCGAACTCCTTGCTGAATCTCGGACCACCCCCCAAGTGAGGTAAAACAAAAAAGGCGCTCAGATTTTAAGTCAGATAAAGCTTACTTACCCATTTTCTCTGGGCTCTGACAGGGCTAAACTGAAAACGCCATCTGTCCAGTGGAAGGTTACACCTCCGACTCTATAGGATCCAGCTAACGGTTCAAAGTGGAAATAGTGATGAGTCACACGCCACGAGTCGTCCTGCTTCAAACTGTATACCACAATACCGTAGGCACCCAAGTCTGGTACATATGCGAAGGCATTATCACAAGAATCTTTATCAGCATCTACAACCTGCAAAGAACAATTATTTTTCGATAAATAACTTATAGGCTGGACTTAGTGCATGAGCGATGCTGAGCGCATATGATGCGTGCTGATTGTACGCGCTGACCGTCGGCGTTTACTTTAGATTTTAGATAGTGCTCTACTATCGACTACATAATATCGGTCGCTACGTCGTCGGTAGACCCACGAGGTCACCTATGATTCCGGTCAACGTAATGAAGCTGTACGCGCGTAGGTTATAATCAGTATTGCACTGTAGCATTTTATATCTTTTAATGAATATAGCTACTTTTGCAGCATTAAATCCAGCCTTAAAGTCGTAGTTAATGCAATGAGGGAGCGTTCTTTATATTATAAAAAAAGCTTAGAACATATTTATCACGTCAATAAGACACTGCTGTCTAAAACAAACTGTTTTAATTAGTGTATTCACTAGAAGTTTAGTGCATTAGAACCATCTTAATAATATAACACGCAAGAAACTACAGTCCTATTTTCCTACAGGTTACCTAGTTATCAGCAGACTGCAGCTGAAACATATTCTAGTTGGTTTTTAAAATCCGACCTTTTAAGAGTTACAGATTAAATTTCTGCACTTAATTATTTAATGAATAAATTTAATGGATAATCATTACTTTATAACTTTTTCGACTTATTTACTGTAAAAAAGTTTTAGGGTGCATGAAATTCTTTAAACTTGTTGAATATTATATTATTTAAATAAAAATACTTACTATGTTAGCAAAGAAAGAGTCCTCTTTCATGTCTTCTAATTTAAAATAATAACGATGAATCAACTTATCGGTATTTAAGTCGAATACCACAATTGATGGGCCGACTATTTGGTTGGGGGATCCTAGAAAAACAAAATTGCTATATATTATTTCTAATAATAAAAAATAATAGTTTCGAATTTATCGCAAACAAAACATATTCGAGATCATCACGAAAAATAATTACCAAAGTAAAATTTAGAGAAAAGTCGATGTCAATATTATATACGTACCCCAAATATCTGCCAGTCCCGTATCAAGAACCCAAAGTCTATCACAAGGATCTACGTGAACTCTAAACACCGAAATGATTGTATTATTTGACGGCAATTCCTTAATGGTATCATCGATGAGATTGTCTTCGAAAGATGGGTAAGGTTTGTACGGCTGGTCTTGTGGACCGTCCAGGTCTACATAATTCAATGAAGAGGCCACGCCATTTTTCCACTTTGGTACTGTTATAAACAATTTGTTCTTCCACCGCGCTAAACCTAACGGAAGGTTATTCTCTTGTACAAATTTGCCGTCTTTTATAGCATTTTCTCTGTCCGCTGGTGTTTTCCATGCGTAGTCTACTTGTTTCCAAGCAAACTTTAGTTGTGGTGTTGCTGACTGACAAACTGTTAATACTGCAAAGACAATTAGTAATTTCAACGCCCTCATTTTCATCTGAAACAATAAATAATAATTCATTATACTTTAATAATTTTGCATTCACAATGCTATATTAATTTTCTATTCCATCTAATAAGTAGTAGATAAAATATGTAACTACGTAGGTATACTTGGTTGCAAAATTATTGTGAAAATTTTATAAATGAAACTACATATAGCGGTCATTCCATAAAAGCAATAAAAAGAATTGATTGAGAAAATATTTTCTAGTCAGAAAATTTAATTTATTTTTCTAAATTTTGTAGAAAATAAAATTTATAAAAAAAAATTACAACTGTGCAATGTATATGAGATACTGAGCAATGTATATGATAAAAATTGCTCAAATTCCAAGATGAGTAACTAAAGCCCCCGTATTATGGAGTATCTGAGACAACGAAGGTACCACAACACCCAGAACCGAGACAATATAGAAAGGTTCATTTTCTACATGAACCCGACCGGGAACCGAACGCGGGACTTCAGAGATGGCAACACCTTGAAACAGGCGTGCGAACCCCTCGTCTACGGAAGAATGAGTTTTATGTATCTTATTATTGGGAAACATTATTATAAGTTATGTTCGTAGGCAATAACTTGATGAATATGAATTATGCTTAATTAATAGAATACATTTATGTTACCAATTTGTTCTGCAATAATAATAATTGTGTAACGTCTTGGTATAAACTATGGTACAAACTATAATAGTCTTGATTCTCGGATTTAATTTCGAGGCCTTAGTTCATAGTATTCTTTATTAAGCATGATTCTTCGCTATGTCGTAACTTGGTAATGACAGTATTGTGAAGCAGGGCACCTCACAAACTCTATAATAATAGCTGACTCACGTTTTTGCGGATCTTATTATTGGGAAACCTGTTGGGGAGTCATACTCTTCCTTATCTTTACAGATCAAGCTTGTTATGCATGGGAACTGTGACGCTAGATTACACAACCTGATGATCCGTACTTGATATGCATGCTATAATACCTAGTCATACAATTTATCATAAAATTTTCCATAGATAAATATTACATGAGGTAAAATGATCGAAAACAAAATTACTACCATAAGAGTCGACATATCGCAGAATCCGAGAAATTAAAAGTCACCAACTGTATAATAAACAATGTAACTTGAATATTTAATAAGCATGCAAGGACGTGATTTCATTTTATTTATAAGATTCACTGACCTTCTAATGGAATTCTCTCTTATTAAATAAGTTTGAATATTTATATAACTATAGTAATTTAAAAAGGATAAATTATTAAAATGTAAATAAAAAGACTAGAAGATTATTGTCACTAAAAGCACTATCGGAAGGATATTCTATAAGGTATTTAGCTACGGTTATTATGCACTTCCTCACAAAGTATGTCATGTACTGGACTATACAAAGGAAGGGACTGTCATGCCACTTGTTTTTTGCTGCGGCTCTCAAGGTCTACGGTAGTACGCTTTAAATATATTAAATGCATGAACTGCAAGTCATGCGTTGAAAGAAACGCTTTTATCGATTCTAGCATCGTATCACAATTGTTTAATTCACTAGCGATACGAATAGATAAACGATGTTATGTAAATACAGTAGTCAATAATAAAAAGTTACGCAAATAACTTTTTATTATTGACTGGTTTTTTGACGTCGAGACACTGCGTTTCGCACAGAACCTGTTAACCGGAAAGCAATAGGGTTCACTATTAACTCTTAATGTTGTCATTAAATAACACACTCATTTTTGGCAAGTTTCAAAAGTTTCCATAAAAACCTTATCGCAAAATTCGCAATGGATCTTCGCTTAGTAATATTTATTTTTTATTTAAAACCAACTTTGGTAAAAATATACTTGAATACAATAATTGTCCGTTAAAATCGATCGCTGTTTATCTTCTTCTACCCCATAAAATTTGAAAACTGTACTACTTGACGAGTAAGCATTGACCACAAAGTATAACTAAGAGATTGACGTAACATACAAGAAACAGGTTATAATTTAAGAATAATTGTTAATTACGGAAATACTTGGGGACCATGTACGTTATATTTATAGAATTCCTGATATTTCAGGTCTATTGCAAACACCATGACCACTGACCCCGTGACCATGAAAGTTTTAAACAATATATTTGTTATAGTCATTAAATATTATCTGAAATTCTATATATTCATATTTTTAAATCTGAGTTATATATGAAACCAATAATAACCCATTTGAAGATTAGCAATTAAATAATATAAGTAATTTCCAAAGAACTAAAACAGAATAAATATAGATCACAAAAGAGCATAAATATAGAAATGAAAACTTTGAATGTTGTCACTTAAATAAAAAAACGGTCGTTAATGCAAAATTCCAAGAAAGTGTCTTTGAGTATTTCGACAAACCTGTTTGACTACACATACGGCATAGTACCTATTGACTTACTCATACTCAAGCTTAAACAAATGTAATCTACTTGAAACTATTTTTGTAATCGTGAATAATTTTAATGTTTGTTTAAAATTTATAAAAATTGAGTACATAGACCTGCAGGATAGTCACCATTATCTACATTCACCATTAATATCCCCGGGGTCCTGTCCAATGGTTAGAGCCAAATTTTTCGTGTCATATCCGATGACACGAAAAATTTGGTTGAGTTTGGTCTTAGGTTAAAACAAATTACGCAAGAGCCGATCTTAGGGTGAGTCTTAGGACCAAAAAGTTATTATATCGAGCGGCTCCGTTCTTCGAAAGGTAAATTTAGTCGTTTGTCCAAGATACATCTGCAATTGTTAACACCTACCGTTTCGCAGTAGGCCCGCGTGATGAATTATTGCTTGTTTGCAAGATTTTATATTAGTTGGCTCTATTTAAAAAATGACTCAATGACTACTTTTGTGGACAGCAATAAACATTTAAAAAATTTAAATATGCGACAGAACAGAATTAGTGAGAAATAGAAAAAGTTTTCTAAAGGTCAAGTTCCAATGAACAAGCGAGTAGGAAAAACACAAGAAAATTTCCGCTATAAACACAATGTGGTAAAATCAGCAGGCAGGTTAGCTTATTAATACGTTTCTTTATTAGAATATCATGCATTATCATCAGCCTATTAATATCCCTACTATACAGGTACAGGAATTCCCTTTGAATGGTATCGAAAACAATAGGTAAGTATTTAGATAATTGTTGCAACATTCATATTTATCCATATTTTTGCACGCGAGTAACTGCCATTTTAAAATTGACTTCCTTGTGTGAAAGTGTCTTTAGTAATACATGCAATGTTATAGCCGTCAGTTATGTGTATAAATTATATTTACATTCGTAATTAGGCTTTATAGATTATAATTTCTATTTAAAATAATTTCAATGCAAATTATTTAATGGCACTGGTTGATATTTGTATAAAGCAGCCCGTACAAACCTCCGGCCGTATATTATCAAGCCGTTGTGTATATTATTATTCATTGTGTTAAATTGTACACAGGAAACTAAGATTCAATAGGGATGATGACTAATTTTTGTTTGTTTGTCCGTCAGGTAGAGTGTTAAAAAATATTAAACACATATTTTTATATTTTTTTCGTAATCATAAAATTACGGCATTACATTGAGTTGAAATTTCGCATGACGTCACGTTAGAGTACGTTTTCTACTCAACTGTGACGTAGCGAGCCCCCACTCCTCAACTTTAATGCCTGTTATCAAAGCTATTTCTAGTTAATTTGAAGTAAAAAAAAAATACGTATCTAATATTTTTCTATTATCTGACTGACGGACTAAATAGAATTGCATTTTTTTTACCCAGTCATCATCCCTATTATTTGAATTTCTTAAATGTCTAAATATTATTTGAAAAAATTAAACCGCCTTAAAATACGTGAAAAATAATACACATTTTAAAGGCAATATGTTTATGGAACTCAGATAAGCACTATGGTGAAACTATTCAGAGTTGATGTCTGTTTCTTATCGACTTCGAAAATCTACAATATGAGGCAAAGCTACGCCTACTTATCAGTAAAACAGAGCTCTGGCTACAAGAACTCTGATATGTGTTAAAATAATTAAGTAATAGTTTGGTCTGGCTGTACCTGAGATAATGTTAAGATAAATATTAGGATTAAATTCTAAATATGTACCAAAATTCTATTTAAACTGACATCTGTCATGTCCCTTATACCAGTTTAGGATAAATTACGGCACTGTTTACGCACTATTACAAAGCAATATAACAATAACAGTTACCATCATTACAACAATTATCAATATATCAATTAAAAAAATCTCCAAAACTGTTACACGACTATAAATAGATACAGCTACCATTAAATCTAATGATGCTACCATAAATAAATACACGTTTGTGTTTGAAAATAGTTGCAGAGAACCCTAGTAATATTACGAAATTTTCACTTTAATATTCTTAATGAAATATGCTTTAAAATCCAAACTGAGATGGGATTCAAACCCACGACCTTTCACAATCCGTGCCACTGCTCTAACCATTGAGCCACCCAGAACATAACAAGACTTTTTCAAGCACTTGTTACTTTTTCGTTACTACAGAGCGTATTTTTATGAATGTTCAGGCAATCCACCCCAACAACCGAAATAAAATTTGTTCTAATTATTACATATATTTCATCAATTTAGCATTCAAAAAAATCCTGGTACTCTGAGATACGAACCAACCACCCAGGACAAGCCAGGACAAAGTGAAGTTCTTAAGCATTTTCCACTGAGAATATTTTCCAGTATAGCATTGTGAATGCAAAATTTATCAAATATAATTTATTTTATTGCGATTTTATAGTTATACCTACTATCTTATTATAATATATCTTTAAAAACTTAAAAGCTTAATATTAAAGTTTTGTAATATGTCAATTTTATTATAACAGTATAATATTATATCGAAATCGTTTCGAAACTGAACATATCAATAGTAATTAATAGTAGATATATCAAAACTAGTATGGTATAGATACGTGAAACATCTGGTTCTTTCTATATATACTTTTTAAACAACCATTAAAAATTTTAAAAATACATTAAGAGTTATGATTTTTTTAAAGTGAACTGAGTAA